GTTTGGCACCTAACTGATACAGTACACCAAGTCAACAAAGCACCTTATGAATACTTCGAATCGCTGAAGCTGTGACCATTCTGCGGATGAAACTTGAATTATGCTTGCGAAAATAGGCTGACGCTAACTTATGTCTGATTTCCCACAAACTGGAAGATATGCAAGCGAAAAGCAACAAGTTGGCAGAAGAAGCATCCATAGAAGATAGGACTTCAGGTGAACATAGAGAAGACAGAGGTGATGAAGATTCTTGGGCAACACCACCATTAGCAACAACAACAGACAACAGTCAGCATAAATGGGAGGAACCTGAAAGAAACAACCTCTTTGACCTACCTGGGAAGCATCGTTTCAACTACAGGCGGACGGAACTGACGAGGATATCAAAGCAAGAATCGGAAAAGCAAGACAAGCTTTCACTACTCTCAAGTCTGTGTGGAGGTCAACAGCACTCAGCATCAAAAATAAGATCCGGATTTTCAACTCCAATATGAAGTCAGTGCTACTATACGGATCAGAGACTTGCACTGCGCGTCATAAAGAGCATCTCAAACAAACTACAGACCTTCATTAACAGCTAGCTGTCTTCGCTCAATACTCAAGATCAGATGGCCGGCCAGAAAGATCAGCAACAGGGATCTCTGGCAAGAGCGAACCAACACAGCAGGAACCGATTGTGAAACAAATAGGCGGGAAGAAATGGAGATGGATTGGCCATACTCTGAGGAAACAAGCCATCAAGTGACATCACTAGACAAGCCATTGCTCGAGTGGAACCCGAAAGGGAAGCGGCGAGTTGGTCGTCAGTGCAAGGGTGACTTGGAGGAGGTCATGTGAAGAGGAGATGAAAACGTGTGGGCAGACTTGGAGCCAGGTGAAGACTCTAGCAGAGAACCGAACGCAATGGAGACGCACGGCTGAAGCCCTATGTTCCTCTAGGAATTAAAGGATACAATATTAATAATAACTTATTACTATCACGGTAAACACTGACACATTCATCCAATTAACTTTAGACATTTTTCATCGATTGACTAGGCGGAAATGCTTGGTCTCAGGTTGTCAAGTCGGCTCCTTGAGCAGACACTTCGACAATGTCTGGTCATGTAACTTGAAGTCAACTGGTGGATGGTGACTAGCAGCAGTGGAATCTAGGATGCGCATTTCGTGCTACTTGTGACTGTGGACGCTCGTGGCTCTGGGTTCGAGCCTCGATGGGAACATTATCATTCATTCAGTTTTTTGTTGAAACTTCATTTTATTTCACTTCAATTTTGTGTGTTACATAACTCGATGATCACAGTCATCGCCTTTCTTGCTTGACCGCTTTCATTTCGGTTGAATAAATTTACACGCGATTATGTAGCTGTCTGTACTTATGCGCCAATTATCCTTAAATTCTAGTATATTCTTCTATGTACACTATTTACAATATCTCTAATATGGTTGTTAATTCAGTATTCTAAATTACTGTTCACTTTGTACCTCTTTTCCGTTTTCGGCATGTTATATTTTTCTCCTATCAAAGTAAACTGTTTATTCAGAGTTAAAGTATGTATTGAATAATATAAGAACAAGTCATTTAAAGGAACGTCAAGTCAGTTCTTCTATACGGATCAGAAACTTGGCGGGTCACAAAGAATATTTCCAACAGGTTGCAGACCTTCACCAACAGCTGTCTTCGTTCTGTACTCAAGATCAGATGGCCGGAAAGAATCACCAACAAGGAACTATCGGAACAAACAAAACAAGAACCAATCGCCCGACAAATATGCAGGAGAAAGTGGAGATGGATTGGACACTCGCTGAGGAGGCCGCTGGGTGACATCGCGCGTCAGGCCAGTGCTCGAGTGGAACCCGAAAGGGAAGCGGCGAGTGGGACGTCCAAAGGTGACATGGAGGAGATCGTGTGAAGAGGAATTGAAACAGTATGGATTAACATGGATGCAAGTGAAAAGTACAGCAGAAGACAGAAGCAAGTGGAGACGTGTAGTTGAAGCCCTATGTTCCTTTAGGAACCCAAGGGAACAATAATAATAACATATAAAGGAACAGTATTGTTGTTCTCAATTAGATCCTCTTCAGGATTCACTCTAATTTACATAGCTCTTTATATATACAAACTTTAATCGATGACGGTGAGTTGGTCGATCGGATTATGATAATAATAATAATGTACTAAATGTTTTGAACGTCATTAATAACAACGATCATAATGATAGCAAAAATTATCAACAATTAGTTCCCTTTATGAATTTAGATAAAAGATTAAGAAGAGGTAACTTGTATGTAGATAATATTGTAATCATAAGTGATAAGCGCCTTGTTCTGCCACCTCAATTTTAAATCGAATGAATGAATGAAGTTCAGAATAGCATATCACTTACATCTGTCTGTGGAAGAGGAAGATGATTTTTTATCTTTCCTAGACATATTGCTTAGTCGACGGCTTGATGGGTCAATAAAAAGATTTATTTATAGAAAGCCTACCTGGACAGGACAGTATCTTAATTACCACAGTTTCTGTCCTGTTCGGTACAAAAGAGCGTTAGTAAGGTGCCTCTTTAGTAAAATCCAACGAATATGCACTGAAGACATACTTGATGAAGAAGAAAGAAAGTTGACACAAACTCTGGTTGATAACAATTATCCACACAAGTTCATTAGGAGATATATAATAGTCAGAACACAAAGACCCACTCTACAACTCGCCCCTAAGAAAGTTGTGTACATCAAGCTACCCTATATAGGGCGTCATAGCAGCTTGATAACCAGACAAAGATTGAACGCTGGTATCGTTAAAAAGACGTTTTATGCAACTAATGTCATAATAATTGAGAATGTGAAGTCAACATATCTATTTAAGCCCTTTGAACATGCGAAAAATGATGTCACACCGCACTGTATTTACCAATTTGAATGTACGTGTGGACTCATCGATCTCTGCATGTAAGAGCTGGCTTCAGAGTATATTCCTAAATGGCTCCAGAAACAAATGGAATTCTCGGAACCTATTATTGGTGAGAACAGAAGACCAAGCTCCTCTATTGCGAAACATATTATAGAGACAGGACATAAAATTGACATTAAAAGATCTTTTAAACCTATCTATAAAACGTGTTTGGGGGAGGGCGTATCCTAAAGTTTGTGGAAGCTCTAGCTGGCAATTAGGAAGTTTAAACCACTTGTATACGTTCAAAGCGGCAATTCGTCATCACACTATGCCATCTTCCTTGGTAAATTTTGTTTTGATACCATCGCAGATGTACTATAACGTCTGCTGGCGATAAGAATAACAAAGCTAGTAATATGTGTATGTGTAGACAATTCAATAAATAGATAAATTAGATCAAATCTTAAAAGGTACGTAATACTAAAGGTGAAGTGGACAGATAATCAGAGTTTAAATAAATATCATAAAAGTACAAAGGAGATGGGAAATAAGACAGGGTGGGAAGGTTACAATTAGAATTCACCTAGGCCAAGGGAGACACAAAGTTAGAACAAACTTCTTTTGTGTGCAAAGACTGGAATTGTTCTCTCGAATTAATTCCCATAGCTGTGGCTATGAGTGAAATCAATTTAGTTAGATGCCTTACAAATAAAGCAAGTCGGATATTTACAGATGACTACCTAAAAATTGAATTGTGGATACATCCAAAATACGCTGATCCAAACTGGTTATCCTAGTGGCTTTGTAAGGAGACACATGAACACCAGGTATAATAAAGAGAAACTGACAACAGTTAAAAAACAACTGTTCCTAAAATTGCAATTCAATGGGAACATAGCTCATGAAGTCCTACATCTAAGATTATCGAGAGCGATAAAACGGACTAATACTGCCGCCAGCATCCCTTGTCTGTCATTTTCCAGCTGCCGACCAATTATGATTACTCAAGTGAAAGACAAGCTACCTACCTAGCTGTGCCACTTCTATGTGTATCTACAAATTTAGCTGCTCCTGCGGAGAAAGCTATACAGGGCGGACAACTAAACAGCAATTCAACAAACGCATTAATGAGCATTTTCCTTCATGGTTCGGGGGAAAGGCTAAATAAAATCTATAAGAAGTCCTATTTTGTCGCAATTCATTGATGATAGCGGTCACCACTTAGACAGATGAATTACCTTCAAAGTTATCTATCGCATTCCATTGAACCTTCCGAATGGAATTTGAACTCACCTTTAAAACACAACCGTAGATATCCTTCCTGTCCTTGATACTTTCATGGTATTTATTTAAACTCCGATTATCTGTCCACTTCACTTACCTTTAGTATTACGTAACTTTTAAGATTTGACCTAGCTTATTTATTTATTGAATTGTCTACGTATATGCAAACATATTACTACCTTTGTTAATCTTATCGCCAATGTACATCGACCTTATTACCATCATTTTTGCTATCATTATAATAGTCGTTATAACTGACATTAAAAACATTTACCACATTATTATTATTATTCGCTATTAATTGATCCACAAACTCACCGTCATTGGTTAAAATGTTTATATATGAAGAGCTAAGTAAATTAGAGTAAGCGTGGAGAAGATCTAACTGAAAAGAACAATACTCTTCCCTTATAAGTGTCTTGTTCTACTATTAATAATAATAATACGAATATATAAAGATTCACATTATATGATACATTCACTGCTTATACAGTTTATTATTCAGGTTATCTGGAATTCTGAGATGAAGATACTGCAAAATTATAAATGTTAAAAAAGGTGTTGTTCTCATTGTGTCATTCAAATATTTTTCCTTCTATGATATGTATATATTGATTGACAAGCGATCATTTTTCAGTGCCACTTAATGCCTTTTTTTGGCTGTTTAAAAAGTACGCCAAAAATAACCGCTCGAAAATGAAGCCTTGGACATCAGAAATGTCTCTACCACTCTACGCTGAACAATTTCACAGTGTTTCTCCTTGTGTGCGTGTGTGCGTGTGAAAACCAATAAAACTTCAAAAAAAGCTCATATGTCATTTACCTGGAGTTTCAAATTCTGGTATCACACGTACACCTCTTAAACGTGCATACTCCAATAATCCGGTTACTTCATCCGGCAAATATACCGCAATTCTGTCATCATAAGAGTTCTAACAATAAAATTTTTATGTATATATACATGTGGAAATCAAAATATCCATGAAAAATTTACCCATCTCGATAGATCAGGAAGTGAGAAAAAGAAGAATGGAAAGGATTGATCATCTGTCACATGCCAATGAAGAGTGTTCATTTTAACCATGGACATTGCATCCTACATAACAACAAAACAACAACATATATATGTATATATTTCAAATTCGTTCAGTTCCCACTTACTATCATCTTCTCGATTTCAGAAATACTGAGAAAATGTCCAGCAGTGTCGATCATAATTCCACGATGTGTAAATATCGGCACATCATTGATAACACCTTGATAAATGACTTTCTGTCAAACGGGATTGTGTAAAGCACAGCGTGTCAATAGAAGAAATAAGAAATTAGAAACTGGAAAAAAGAATAATCGAACAAACCGAATCTGGTTCACTTCTGTAGACAAGTTGAAGAATAGTTTCTAATGCTCGAAGTGTTCCCCATATCTCTTGGGAAGAAATTTCTATTACCCCATCAGTTATGTTCACCAAGTCTGTAAATCAAAATATGAGTTGAAATGAGGAGGAGGAGGAGATTGACGTGAGTGAGTGAGTGAGTGTGCGGATATCCTACTTACACGACTCATCCATCATATCAGACGGCCAGAGTTTGTTTTCCCTTTCATCACATGTTTGTTCTATATGGATAGACAACGCGGTGACAAAACAACTTGTAACGACGGTGTCATCTGAAGGCTGTAATGGTGTATATATGCGGGTAAGACGTTGAGTGAATCGTTTCAACGCCTCCATTAGAATGAAACAAGAATGATGCTCATGAATAAATTCAAGTGTTTCAACAATGTTACACAACAGTGAAGTTTGATTATATTCGTATGGTTTTGGAATGATTGCTGAGATTCCAGTGACAAAGTAACCAAGAATTACAATGTGGTATAGGGGATTTCTATGCATGCTCTGATGTACACTGTTGAATGCAATTGATATATTCAAATGGCACTTAATTCATATGAATACACACATATATTTATAAAATAAATTTATTTATTGATAGCTTACTGTTTAAAGTTCTGAGTTCTGTTTTGCAGATAAAAATCATTCGACGAATGCGTGATGTCGAGTTGTGGACTTTCAACCCCATGTTTTTCTAAAATTCTTCAAACAGATAGGCTCTCATAGCATAGTGGAGGGGGGCAGGGAGGTGGGTAGGCAGAAAAAGTTAGTGAGAGGGTAGCGAGAATATATTCAGTACATGCGGTCGATTTTTCAAAATTACCAAAGCCTCATAACTTTTTATCTTTGCGATGAAGATAATATTCTTGCGTTATACTCACATCTGTTTTCACATACACCTTCAATAGATTATTGATCTAAGCTTCATGTAATTTAGTGATGAAATAGATAGATTGACAGAAGGATAAATGTCAAGAAACTTAATTCTAAGACCCTATTATTATTATTTCCGAAGACGCTCCGTATCGACAACCACTAAGCACAGATATTTCGAATTTAATTTCACAACACACAATGGATGACCAGAGATTGTTTTCTTCGATTGTTAAAATCAATAATTCTCTACCAAGTCTATAAACAGAAGTTTTTTTACTAGGAATGTATTGTACTTCTGTTCGTGTTCTTTCGTCTTCTTCTAAGATGTACACGATCGAATCACTAGAGCCTTCAAGTTACCCGCCAATGGGGACCAAAGCCAATAAGCACACGTTCAGCGTTCATAATCATTCAGACAACAGAGTAGCTATAGGATTTCCTCTGTGTCCACTATTTTTGACGAGAGTTTCATGCCACCCGTAGAATCAGGTAAACAACAGCAACCAGACATAAAAATCAATTCGAAGTTTACAGGTCTTTCTGTACATGAAAATATTGATCCAAATCAAATCCTTGAAATTTTTTTAATAATTCCTATCGATCAGTTAATTTCTACTCGACAAGTTGATTAGGAAGGATAGCTCTCCTCCCATGGGGGGGGGGTGCTCAGCCTTCAAGGAGTTATGATGGATCAGTTTTGGAGATAAATTCATTGAAAATCAAAGTGGAATGGCCAGCTAAATCACTTAAACGACAAATCTACCTAAACTACAAGACTTAGGCTTGAACACGTTATGTCCTGATTGGAAAGTGAACGAAAATATGAGCGATAGTTGAATTCAAATTTTCTTCTGTTAGTTCCATCGAGTTGATAGAATTAATCTGGAAAGTGAGTTCTTCATACTAAAGCTGAGGTTTTCTCTTTCACAATGTTTAACTACTGTCATTTTCAGCACTAATGATGCAAGTTTAACTCCTTTCTGGATAAACATTTATTTTGATAAATCACACACAGTATTGTACATTCAGTAATATTTACTGATGAGGTTTCGAGCACAATTTATTGTCACTCTAAATCATATCAAAGCACTCACACAACTTTCTTGCTTCATTTATATACATGAGTAAAACTGATGATTAGACATTTAAATAACATCAGGAATATAAGACAAAGTACATTCGGAAATATTAATATTTAAAACAGTTAGTCCATTTTATAAATTTTGATAGCATTCTAAGAAGACGGAGATTATCTGAAAAACGATGTGATGTATTTGCGCTATACATTTCGAACAATCTGATCCCTCACACATATACTTGTCAAGTCAATATATATGGAAAAGTTAAGTTAAATAAAGTGACAAATAAAAGAGTTTAGAATAATTAACACAAACTTTTGGTAATCCAATCAAATAAGGATTACCAAGGTAGGTTAAGAGTAATAACAAACTGTTTTTGAATACACAAGAGGTGGGAGGTTACGTTTATGAATGGCTATAGCCTCAGCGTATTTCAGTAAACGTCCTTGAATGGTTTTATAGATGACCTTCAAGGTTGAGTTAACATCAACCTTATGGTTCATCTCAATTAGGTGTTTAGGTATAGACGAAGTTGGTACTCTGACACCTGCATCTATTGGCTTGTCACAATTCATCTGTTTTTCTAACCCCTTTGGGATATGCTCTCCCACCTTCACGTGAAACGCGTGATTACTCCTCTCTATGTATGTATGTATGTCCACACACACACACGAAAATTGGTAAATTGTGTGGGATGTGATATAATCGCTTGTGCACTCTTGAGGTTTGTAGTGAAGCAGATTTTGCTATGCAGCTGCATAGGTTCTACGGATGATCGAATTCAACCTTTGTCTCAAAATCCTACTATTTATTTCCCCATTATATGGTAATTTGATGAAAACCTTTTTCTTAGGGACAGTATGGATTGTAGGTTTAGAGGCGGCTAGTTGACTTCTACACCTGTTTAAAAATTTCAAAGGATATCCGTTTTCAACAAGAGTATTCATCAATATTTCGTTTTCTTTGTCTATAACATCAGCCGTGCAAATACGCTGAATCCTCTTAAATAGACACTTCACCAATCCTCTCTTATACTGTAATGGACAGGAGCTGTGAAAATTAAGGTATTGCCCTGTCCAAGTGGGCTTTCTGTAGATTGACTGTCTTATTGAGCCATCGTCTCTTCGACTCAGAAGTATGTCTAAAAATGCGAGCTAGTTGCGACTTTCTTCCTCTCATGTAAGACTAATGTGATTCTGTGCAGATTTAAGTCTGTCTAATAGACGACTCGCATCTTCATGATCGTCGCATATCAAAATGATATCGTCTACATATCTCTTATGGAAAGGCAATTTCGAAATTAAATCAAAGGATAAGTTTTCAACACAAGACATGTAAACGTCCGCTAACAAAGGTCCTAATGGACTCCCCATAGCGACGCCAATGTTCACCTTCAAACGTGAAATGGACGTTGTCAGTACATAACAGTAATAAATCTTTCAAATAAATTAAAGTAATAGGAAATGAAAAAGAACTAGAAGATATATAATCACAAAGAATATCAACAGTCTTAACCAATGGTACATTAGTAAACAAAGAATTATCATCAAATGAATAATTTTTTCTATCTTTTATGTTCATATCAACAAGAGGATCAACAAGTTTAAAAGTATCTTTCAAAGTAAACTTACATAATTCATTGCGTACTGGACTTAAAATATCAGCTAACCATTTTGCTAATTTATGTGTAGGAGAGTTACACATTGAAAGTATTGGATGTAATGGATTATCAAATTTATGAATTTCGGGTAATCCATAGAGGTTTGGGAAGGCAGATCCCATGAGTTTCAAGGAACTAAACTCCTGTTTATCGATAACGTCCATGCCACGAAGTTTTACTAAATGAGAAGTTACTTTTCCTTCCAATTTTCTGAAATTATCCGAAGGAAAATCGGCTTTGAATTTGCTCTTGTCATTAAGGATGGATAACATTTCTGTTTTGTAATCGCTTCTGTCCAATACAACTACACCAGATCCTTTGTCAGGTTTCAAAATAACTAAATCGGATCTGTTACGTAATTCCTTTAGGGCTTTAAAATGAGTTGATGTTGAAATGTTTCTTTGTTTCCGACTTGAATTACGGAATTGGTGTGCTATATCTACAAATTTAACTTTCAACCAACTTTGTTCATCTGTCGAGGAAGGAGTTAGAGAACTCAATTGATCATACAAATTTTCAAACTGCGAATCAATTGCTAAGTCCGAAATATTATTAATTTAATGGGATAGAAAAAATTGAAACCAAGTGATAGCACCTCCTTTTCATGTAATAAAAGTTCAACCGATGACAGATTTGTCACATACTTATCAGAATTTAATGGGAATTGGTTTGATTGAAAGTCAGAGGTACAAGATCCAAGCAATTTCAATCTAGTATTCTCTTTCGTCTTTTTAACGGCTAAAATCTGCTTCACACAAGCGATCATATCATATCCCACACAATTTACCAATTTTCGTGTGTGTGTGTGTGTGGACATACATACATAGGGAGGAGTAATCGCGCATTGCACGTGAGGGTGGGAGAGCATATCCCAAAGGGGTTAGAAAAACAGATGAATTGTGACAAGCCAATAGACGCAGGTGTCAGAGTACCAACTTCGTCTATAGCTGAACGCCTAATCGAGATGACCCATAAGGTTGATGTTAACTCAGCCTTTAAGGTCATCTATAAAACCGTTCAAGGACGTTTACTGAAATACGCTGAGGCTATAGCCATTCATAAACGTAACCTCCCACCTCTTGTGTATTCAAAAACAGTTTGTTATTACTCTTAACCTACCTTGGTAATCCTTATTTGATCGGATTACCAAAAGTTTGTGTTAGTTATTCTAAACTCTTTTATTTGTCACTTTATTTAACTTAACTTTTCCATATATATTGACTTGACAAGTATATGTGTGAGGGATCAGATTGTTCGAAATGTATAGCGCAAATACATCACATCGTTTTTCAGATAATCTCCGTCTTCTAAGAATGCTATCAAAATATTAATATAAGTGTTATCAATCAAATGCAATCAGATGGGAAATAAGACGAGTGTTTTATAGTCAAAATAAGTATCTTGTTAGAAATTTATAATGTATATGAATGGAAATAGAATTTTTAGATAATTTATTATCCTCCTCTGATTTGACTGACTGGTGGTAATAATATCTTCCATATCTCTGGTATTTGCATTGAGTCAATTCTGTTGCATGTGTTGGGTGTAGACTCGATGAACTAGGATTCAGTAATCCAACCCTCTCTATTATAATAAAGGTTTTTGTATTTCCCAATGAATGAAAACAAAGAGATATTGAAAGTCAAAATAACAATGAAGGTCACTAAACCAAATAACATAGGTAGTGGTACACCTGTTATGATATCAAAATAAAGTATACTAACTTGTTCATCGTCGTCAGTCTGGAGTCAGTTTTGCGTTGTCAAGTTGGTCAATTGGTAAAGATAACAAGACCAAGTGCAGATTGTTGGATTTGATAAGTGTGCAAAACTAAACAAAAACAGCGTGTGTTTACATAATGATATTGCTTATCACATTCATGTTGA